ATATATTCCAGCACAATGCTTCCGTTCAGGGCTATTGTTAACTACAACTTAAACTATTAAAAGCATTTTGTTAACTGAAATCAAGTGGAATAAAATTCAATATAAATATTAGATGAAAAACTTAGAAATAATAAAACACAAACTAATCAAATGAAAAAAGCACAAAACAAAATTACTAAAATAAAAAAGAAAGCTAATTAATATTTTTATAAAACTTATAGTATATAAATAATACTAGAATAACACGGCTTCCATTTTAACGTTAAAGAATGTTATGTAACTGTTATGACAGAAATGCAAGTAGCTAATATCTAGTATCAACAAACTATATTCAAGGTATTGAATTATATCATTTATGTAAGTAATGTAATGCAATTTGTAAATGAATGAGAGACAAGACACTTTAACAGAGCCATTTACATAGGCATAAGAAATATTATAAACTGCATATTTTAAAATACAAAATATGATTTGCAGATAGTTCAAATACTTTACAATAGAATCTAGTTGATTTTCTACTTTTTTTTTCTTTAATCCCTTAATCCCTAATTTATATATTTGTCAAATCTAGCACTTGTTAATCATGGTTATGATGAATATGTAAGTGATGTACCAGTAATATGCATCTCCATCTCCTGTCTGAGGAGCTCCTGCAGATCTGTCTTACTGTCCGCTGTCTCACACACCTCTTCAGCTCTGCCTCCATCAGCCACCTACAACACACACACACACACACGGTGTCAACTCCATCAGCATTAAACTCATATTTCACACAACACGAGCAGTTATGTAGCAGATTTATCTTATTACTCTTTTGTTACTCACGGATGTGTCCATGTTCTTGTGTTGAGCTGCTCTGAACTGAAGCTCTCTCTCTCTCTCTGTGTGTGTGTGTGTGAGGGAGAGAGAGAGAGAGAGAGAGAGAGAGAGAGAGAGAGAGAGAGAGAGAGAGAGAGAGAGAGAGAGAGAGAGAGAGAGAGAGAGAGAGAGAGAGAGAGAGAGAGAGAGAGAGAGAGAGAGAGAGAGAGAGACTGTGTGTGGTTGTGTTTCACTCTCTTGAAATATTCATTACTCAGTGTTCACTTTCACCTGTGTCTGTGTGGGACTGTTTAAATGTTGCATCCAGGGCATAATAACCCATTATTATAGGGTTATAACAAAGAAAAATTGTTACTTCAAATAAAATACATTAACTGAAATAAAATAACATATTCAAAAACTTAAACTTTATTTCACCTATAACTGGCAAGGCAACATTTCTACATTTCTCACGTTTCATTTAGTTTAACTTGATGTACTAAAATAACTAATACTAAAGCTGAAAAATTAAAAAAAAATTAAACTATATAGCCATATTAAAAATATAATAAAAATAACTAAACGTGCAAAAAAATACTAAAACTTTAACAAAACCATTCAAAATAACAATAAAAAGTAAATTAACGCTGATTAAATTAATCTGTATGAGTCATAATCATCCGCTCAGTTTATTTTATTTCCTCACGTCACTTTGGTCATCTCTCAGTTGCAAATGCAGCATTTTAAGGAAGTCACAATGTTTTTGAATCATGTTACTTGAAATAAACGTAAATGAAACTGAGCATTTCTGTTTTGAGAAAGAGAAGGAAGGTTGAGATATTTAACAAGAAATGGATGTTTTAGCATCAGCTAAACTGAGCAAATCATTTGACAAATCAGTTTAACTGTGTCCGTTTAGTGATTTCAGAGACATCACTGATGATTTCAACCATGACTTGAGCTGTGTGTGAACTTCAGGAGAACTGACTTAAAAACCGTCAAAACACCTGATTCACACAACAAAACTTCAGATATAATGAAAGAAAGTGATGTTAGTGAAGCAACTATATTGATTTATATATTATTATTATTATATTATTTATTTATATACTTTATAATATTGTATATTTATATATTAACTCATGTGTGTGTGTGTGTGTGTGTGTGTGTGTGTAGCATCATACACACATGTTTTTTTATTTTATATTTTCAGTTTTTTTTATTTAGTTTACATTTTAGTTTGTCATCAATTTTCAATTTATTTTTATTAAAATATAATTTTTTTCTATTTGCATGCGTCTTCTTTAGGTTGCAACACGTCGAGCTCTCTCGGCCACCGTATATTTTATTTTAATTCATCTTTATATTAACTAATTTTATATTAATTATATACTTAATTAATAATAATAATTTAGCTTTAATTCAATTTTTATTTCTATTTAGCTTTAATTAAATTTGATTTGTTCATCAACTTAAATATACACACACACACACACACACACACACATATATATATATATATATATATATATATATATTATGTATATATATATATATATATATATATATATATATTATATATATATATATATATATATATATTAGTTATTATTTTTTAATAGGCTTTATTTTTATATTTATATATATTTTATAATATATGAACTTAGATTGTAACAACACATCAACACTGAGCAGACAACAGAAGATCAGTGATGGCAGGTTTTCAGGCAAGTAGAGCGTCAACACAACAGAGATGAATACATTACTCAGTCTTTTCATCAACACACGGCTTTAAGCGTCCACACATCAATAAACATAAACTGATCACGAAGAGAAATCCTCCTGACATCGCAGGTAAACAGTTCTCAAATCAGAAGGCAATCTTTATATCTCTATCAATCTCTTTATCTATCTATTAAATCTATTATTTAGTGAAAATGATCTGAAAGAGGAAGTGCGGGATATTTAAAAACCCTAAGCTTCATGTTTTTCACATAACTGTTCATATTTACATCTCTATGTGCAGCTGTTTTGCACAATGATTGAATGAGGAAATCATATTTTTGCATATATGATTGATTATTACATTGTTCAACATGCTGATTTATCTGAATCCAACACAGTCTCATGAAAGTGCGTATCTATACCACGAATGTCATTTCTCGTGCCATTTATACGCCAAAAATGTTTTTTTTGCGTGCATATGATATACGCACTGAAAACCCCTTGGGTAGGTTTAGGGGGAGGGGGGTGTGCGTGCGTATTACACGCCATAAAGTGCGTATCATATGCAGGCGAAAACTGCGTGTCATAGACGCAAAAACTATTTTTAGCGTATAAATGGCACGAGAAATAACATTCGTGGTATAGATACGCACTTTCTTGAGATCGGGCTGCTGAATCTGGTATTTCACATCATATATGCGATCTGAAAGGCACTTTCTATACCTTTTCCTGTTATTTTACTGTATTGCAAAGATTTATTGTCTTATTTTATTACCATGTGTGATTTATTTATAGTTTGTTCAGACAGCATAATATTATTGAGTATATTTTAACCTCCGGCTGTGGTTTCATGCATTATGTGCATATGATTTAATGCAGAGATCATTCAGATAGAACTGAAAATATTCCTGTTTAATAAATAATATTCTTTCTTACACCCTTTTCTGTTGTTGTTTTTTATAGTGTAAACAGTCTTTAAATAAATAAACCGTCACCGTTTCACAGATCACACACACACTCACATTTGGAAACAGCATGTGTTTATTAAAGGCCTTTTATTTACACTCTTACAATCACTCTGATATTCATCCGCCTCAAACAACATGCCTTGGGTTAAAAATTAAAACAAAGAGATGATATCACAGTCACACAGAAAACTTACTATAGATATTATTAGAATAAGGGTTAGGCCAGCGTTAACATCTCTTAGAAATATCATACTTATGTGTATCTATATTGTGAACGCAGATAATTGGAGATCTTAAGTAGAAAGGTTATTGGATTATTTCCATTGAAGTACGTCCAAATGGACTGATTGATCCTCAGGAGCTGCAATAGAGACAGTATAAAGATTTGAACTGTTCTTCTTTATTGCTGGAGAAGATGGTCCTGTTGTGGACGTTCTGGCTTTACTCTGGAGAGAGAGAGAGAGAGAGAGAGAGAGAGAGAGAGAGAGAGAGAGAGAGAGAGAGAGAGAGAGAGAGAGAGAGAGAGAGAGAGAGAGAGAGAGAGAGAGAGAGAGAGAGAGAGAGAGAGAGAGAGAGAGAGAGAGAGAGAGAGAGAGAGAGAGAGAGAGAGAGAGAGAGAGAGATGGACATTAGTACTGGTATTTGAACACATTATCACTACATGAGTGTTTTGGGGCAAAGCAGTAAATTACACACACAGAGACTCACCCATAATATCAACAACAGCTGTGATGGACCATCATCAGAGGAGCGCACAACACAGAGAGAGAGAAGGATGTCAATAATATTTACATTACAGGTGATTGATTCATTTTGATTGACTATTCATTTCTAGTTTATGTTCCACTGGTTGTTCACAAATGGTAACTACAGTAAACTGTATTTACCATACTACTTTGCATTTAATTCAACTTTTTCATGACTAATTATATTAGCAGACAATGTTGCTTTCCGGTTTTGAAATAAAGCTGAAATAAAATAAAATATAAATCTTAGATAAAAAACTTAAACTTAAAAAACTTGTTACACTGACTAAAATAAAATAAGTTGAAGTTTAAGTAATTCAATTTAAATAAATTAAATGATAAATTAAATTTAAATAGAAATATTTTAAAATCTAATAAAAATTACACAAGCACACACCAAATTGAATAAAACTTAAAGTAAAATGAAAATGGAAAATTAAAAGCTAATTTAGAATATGAATAAATATCATAATAGTATATAAATAATACTAAAATAAGTCCATATTTATTTTTCATTTTTATGACACAATTAAAAACAGAGATAAATAAGCTGAAGTATTAATATTACCAATACAAATAAATTAAAGCTAAATAGAAATATGTAAATTATGTGTAGGCTACACTAATAAAAAAGTAGAAAAGCACATAAAAAAATGAATAAAACTTAAACTAAAATTAAAAAAGTAAAAAAAATGATAATATAGTATATAAATAATTATAAAATAAAAGCATAATATAATATAGTCATAACATAGCAATTTGAGTGAGTGCAGATTTATTATTTTGCTGTACTGGGTACTGGTTTCTCAAAGGATAACATTTCTATTTGCGCACCTAAAGCACATTTACACACACCTGAGTCACACTGGGGTCGCCCGCGCATGCGTGTGCCCGAGATCTCCTTGCCGTCTGTGTCCACACACCAGCAGTATCCGGTGCTGTGCCAGCACTGCATGGGCTTATAGTTGCCCTGCTCGTCACACTGAGGCTTGAAGTACCCGGGTCTCACCTGGCCCTCAGAATCCAGCTCACACTTGCTCTCCACCTCGACAGCTGCAGAGAGACATGCGGGTCACGTGGAGATCTGCGTGAGGTGTGTGTGAGAGTGTGTGAGTGTGTGTGAGTGTGTGTCTCACCTGATTGAGGTGTGGCCTTCATCTCCTCATCTGTGTTCACCAGCAGAGGCAGACTCCTCATTGGCAGATTCATCCTCTTCGGCATCATTTTACCACCTTGTGACAGAACATGAAGAATTACTTCAACAATAATGGACAAGAGCTTGTGATACAGTACGGAATTGAGAATGTGGCCACAGGTGTTGCTACGCAAGAAAATTAGAAAACCCCATTTCCATTTCATTTCATGTGTTTTATTTTTTATTAATATTGTCAATTATGTGCTTTTGTCATTTAAAATTTTTTTTTAATATATTAATATTTTTTTTAGCTTTGATTCAATTTAATTTTTATTTGTAATTCTAATACGTCAACTTCAAAATTTTATTTGTTATTTTTTCATCTAATATTTGTATTTTTTTTATTTCAGCTCAAATACCAAAAATGCTAGTTTATATATATTACATTTTTATTTAGATTAGATTAGAACTTATGTATTTAATATATAAATAGTGTAATATATTAGATTACATTTATTTTTCATATTATTTATTCTGTACTGATGGTGTTGGTGATTTTCAAACATTATATATTTTTTTAGTTTTCGGTTTTTAGTTTAATTAATACATTTTTAGTTTATTTAATTTTATGTGCTTTTTTTAAAATAACTATAATATATAATATATATTTTAATATTGAATATTAATATTTCTATTTAGCTTTAATTCAATTTTCTTTTTCATCAACTTAAACATATTTTATTTCAGTTAGTTGCAAAGGCAACAAGTTTTTCCACCTAATGTTTATATTTTATTTATTTCAGCTTTTTTTATATATATAATTTTAATTATATATTTTATATATTATATTTTTATATTTATATATATTTTTATAATATGTTAAATAGTGTAATATATTATATTACTTTATTTTTCACATTATTTATTTATCTCTGTAGGTTGATGTTTTTCAAATATTGTATTTTAGCTTTATATTTTTGTTTTTATATTTTTGTATACTTAGTTTAAGTTTCATTGGTTTTATGTGCTTTTTCATTTTTAAAATATTTAAATATATGAATATTTATTTTTGTAATATTAGTACGAAGTTAGTTGCGAAGGAAACCTTTCTAAAATCTAATATTTTTTATGTTATTTCGGCTTCATTCAATCACCAAAAATGCTGCCAATATATTATTATCATTATTATTTTCGTTTATAATATATTAACGTATATATTTAATATATAAATAATGTAGTATATTATATTACTTTACATTTATTTTTCATATTATTTGTTTATTTTTCTCTTGTGTTGTGTATGTTGCTGACTGTACCGTCCAGTTGTCCGCTGCCCTCTCTCTGGTTTGTGAAAACTGGTTGCAGTTTCTACAGAAAAGAATAAGAACCAGATATTCAGAATTGAATGACCAAAACCCCACGCAGCGCTACTGACACCTATCATCTGCTGTTCTTCCTCACCAGGAGCGGAGAGCTCTTCTTCTTGTCAGTGGTCGGGTCAGAGGTTTCGTCAGAGAAGTCCTTCAGCAGGGCCATGCTGTTCATGGGAAGGTGCATCGCTTTGGGAGGACCAGCTGACAGACGAAAGATGAACATGATATGCATATAAGTCTCGTTTGCCTTTTAAACAAATATTTTAGAAAAGTGTGAGCCCTTTATTTAATGAGAACTGGGATTTATAAGCCCGGGACAATATGCATGAATCATTTGATGGTTGTATTTCTGTAAATGAATGGCATATAAAGCGATATACCTGACATCTTTCGGGTCAGCTCAGTCTTCAGCTTCTCCTGGCCGCTGGTCAGAGCACTGAGGTGCTCCTTCTGACCCCAGACGAAGTAAGCGGTCAGCGCCTGTCCCGCCAGCAGAAGACAGGCCAGAACCGTCAGTCCGGCCACCTTCAGGGCCTTTCCATTGGGGTTCCTGAGACACAGGACAGCACACACACACACACACACATTAGGGGAGTTTCCACACACTGACGGTCACTGCTGTGGGTGTTTATCTGTAATAACACCGTCTCTGTCCGACAGAAGTGTATTCCCCTTCAAGTAAAAGGGAATCTTTCTATGATTCACGCCACTATTTTGAATAGTTTGAGATCCTGGGAATTTTTTTGTGGGTAATTTCATTTGAATAAAAAAAAAAACAGAGGGAGAAACAAATCCTGCTTCTATTTTTGGATTATTTCATTTTAAATAATCCTCTTTTGTAACTCACTTTGGAGTCTGCTAATTGAACAAATGTAAATCGATATGGTTTAAATTCTCAACTAAAAATAAGATTGACTGATTCAGGGTTTCAGGACGACTAAGAATAAGCAACAGTGAATGTACAATGCAGGGATACTTTAGTTAGTCAGAACTCAAATTAAAACCATAAATAAACTAATATTTTAGTTGCTTGAAATAAGTAGCGTTAATTAAAATCAAATAAAATATAAAAAAGTAATCTTTTTTTTAATTTCACCAAGTTGCCAAGGCAATATTTCTCATTTTTATTTAGTGTAACTTCCTGAAAAATAACTAAAACTGAAACAAGTTTTAAAAATAACTAATATACATAAAAAATATATATATATATATATACCTATATATAAAATGACCAAACCAAACTACTGCTAAAACGGCTAATTAAACATTTGATATGATATTATATATGATTTGTTTGGGTATTTTATTTGCTATTAAAAAAAATCTTGTATAATTATTAGTCTACTACATTAAGATTCATGGCATCATATTAATTGAGACTACATAGTATATTTGTCATTTTAAAAATGTATTTGTCACACCACAGGACTTTTTAAAATGTAGGCTACTAGTGAAGGCAAAACAAAGTGATTAAAACAATGCAGCTCCTAAAATACAGAGTTAAACATTCATAAAATTCCATTAAAAAGGAAAATATTTAAATGTGCATGTTATTTGTCAACAGCTCATTTTTATAAAACGTGTGTCCAATATATAAACAACCAATCAATAACGGCAGCGCGTGTGACGTCACGGGTAGCTAGGCAGAGTTTTATTTCCATCTTTCCGATTTCGCCTCTATTTTGGGAATTTTAGAGTAGGCTAAATAACTTATGTAAGATATGTATCGAAATGAGTTTATACTTGTTGCGTAGCCTACCTTTTGAGCCACGGAATAAATTTTTTTAATGATACATTACATTGTCATTAATAGGCCTAATTAATGCTTTTAAATTTACACGCACAATAAGCTACTGGAGTTTTGCATGCAAGAAAAAGTTAAACGGAGCATCAAAGCATGCATTCTTTAACATTTACCCTCACAAATGCTATGTTATAATTGTTATCATGCACTAATTTAATAATATATAGCCTACTGAAACTAACAATTTATTTAATTATGTCCCAAAAACAAATACATAAACATCACCGTGTTGGTCCGCGGCTCAGGATGGTCTCTTGGCTCGGCACGCGCTGAATCAGCGCATCGTTCTGATCATGCTCATCCATCACTGCTGTTTCTAGTGTGTGTGAGTGAGTGAGTGTGTGTGTTTATTCCGAATGAAAGTCTCTGTGTCTTCCAGAAGGTTTTATGCACAAGCGAAACCCGCTTTTCAGGATGTCTGTGGCGGAAAGTCCCTTATTCTACAGATGTGAACCTGAACCTGATTCGGGCATCTTCACATCTGAAATGTGATTGGCTGATGAGAGCAGCGTCATTAGTTGATGGAGAGACTGAAACTTCAACTAATAAATGGCCACGAGAAAGTGCTTGATAAAAACAAAACACTGAACATAAATATTCCACTTTCATTTTTTGGAGCAAAGTGATTAAATATTTCAGAGAGGGATTTGACATCAGGGTGACACTTTCTAATAATTCCCTTAAATCACTATAAATATCATGTTTAGATTAAATGCATTCAGGTCCTTGTGAAAAAATATGCATCAAAGTGTGACATTTAGATTTCTATCTTTCTGTCATGTATAGACTATTATATAGCTACAATATTATATTACTATACCCTTTTTGAAATTAATATTAATCACTTACATACACTTTAAAAAGGTTGCCTTAAATTTTAAGTATCAACTTGGATACTTAAGTCATTTCAACTTAAATTAGGCCTAGCCTACATTAAATTGACTTAAAAATGAGTTGAATCTTGTGTAACTTATGAAAAAACGTTTAAAATTGCTTAACTTATTTTGATGAGTTAATGCAACAAACATATGTTGTCCTTTTTATGTAAACTGCATAATGAGTAAAGTTTTATAGGCGAAGTAATGCAAGTTATTATAAAGTTTTATAACAGTCTCTGCAGGGCTATAACATGTTAGGCAACATCATGGTGAAATAAACACATAAACATGGTCAAATGTGAGTGAATTACTGCAGGTTCTGCCGAGATACAACTGATTCATGCGTCCAGTTTCTCTGATTGGTCACCGCAGAACAAAACATTATGACATACAACATTCCTTTTGCAGAAACATTATTTCTAAAACACAGAACTGAGAAATAAAGAATCAAGTCCGCAAAACTCCACCATCCTTTCCAAGTAGAATGTCAAACATGAAGTGAAATCAGCGAGTATAATCTTTAGATCTGATTTATCAGAAATGTGTTGTGGAAGCCGTGTTGTGTGTTGTGTTGTGGAAGCCGTGTTGTGTGTTGTGTTGTGGAAGCCGTGTTGTGTGTTGTGTTGTGGAAGCCGTGTTGTGTTGTGTTGTGTTGTGGAAGCCGTGTTGTGTTGTGTTGTGGAAGCCGTGTTGTGTTGTGTTGTGGAAGCCGTGTTGTGTTGTGTTGTGTTGTGTTGTGGAAGCCGTGTTGTGTTGTGTTGTGTTGTGTTGTGTTGTGGAAGCCGTGTTGTGTTGTGTTGTGTTGTGGAAGCCGTGTTGTGTTGTGTTGTGTTGTGTTGTGGAAGCCGTGTTGTGTTGTGTTGTGGAAGCCGTGTTGTGTTGTGTTGTGGAAGCCGTGTTGTGTTGTGTTGTGTTGTGGAAGCCGTGTTGTGTTGTGTTGTGTTGTGTTGTGTTGTGGAAGCCGTGTTGTGTTGTGTTGTGTTGTGTTGTGTTGTGTTGTGGAAGCCGTGTTGTGTTGTGTTGTGGAAGCCGTGTTGTGTTGTGTTGTGTTGTGTTGTGGAAGCCGTGTTGTGTTGTGTTGTGTTGTGTTTTGGAAGCCGTGTTGTGTTGTGTTGTGTTGTGGAAGCCGTGTTGTGTTGTGTTGTGTTGTGGAAGCCGTGTTGTGTTGTGTTGTGGAAGCCGTGTTGTGTTGTGTTGTGGAAGCCGTGTTGTGTTGTGTTGTGTTGTGGAAGCCGTGTTGTGTTGTGTTGTGTTGTGTTGTGGAAGCCGTGTTGTGTTGTGTTGTGTTGTGGAAGCCGTGTTGTGTTGTGTTGTGGAAGCCGTGTTGTGTTGTGTTGTGGAAGCCGTGTTGTGTTGTGTTGTGTTGTGTTGTGGAAGCCGTGTTGTGTTGTGTTGTGTTGTGGAAGCCGTGTTGTGTTGTGTTGTGTTGTGTTGTGGAAGCCGTGTTGTGTTGTGTTGTGTTGTGTTGTGGAAGCCGTGTTGTGTTGTGTTGTGTTGTGGAAGCCGTGTTGTGTTGTGTTGTGTTGTGTTGTGGAAGCCGTGTTGTGTTGTGTTGTGGAAGCCGTGTTGTGTTGTGTTGTGGAAGCCGTGTTGTGTTGTGTTGTGTTGTGGAAGCCGTGTTGTGTTGTGTTGTGTTGTGTTGTGGAAGCCGTGTTGTGTTGTGTTGTGGAAGCCGTGTTGTGTTGTGTTGTGGAAGCCGTGTTGTGTTGTGTTGTGGAAGCCGTGTTGTGTTGTGTTGTGTTGTGGAAGCCGTGTTGTGTTGTGTTGTGGAAGCCGTGTTGTGTTGTGTTGTGTTGTGTTGTGTTGTGTTGTGGAAGCCGTGTTGTGTTGTGTTGTGGAAGCCGTGTTGTGTTGTGTTGTGTTGTGGAAGCCGTGTTGTGTTGTGTTGTGTTGTGTTGTGGAAGCCGTGTTGTGTTGTGTTGTGTTGTGGAAGCCGTGTTGTGTTGTGTTGTGGAAGCCGTGTTGTGTTGTGTTGTGTTGTGGAAGCCGTGTTGTGTTGTGTTGTGTTGTGTTGTGGAAGCCGTGTTGTGTTGTGTTGTGTTGTGTTGTGTTGTGGAAGCCGTGTTGTGTTGTGTTGTGTTGTGGAAGCCGTGTTGTGTTGTGTTGTGTTGTGTTGTGGAAGCCGTGTTGTGTTGTGTTGTGGAAGCCGTGTTGTGTTGTGTTGTGTTGTGTTGTGTTGTGTTGTGGAAGCCGTGTTGTGTTGTGTTGTGTTGTGGAAGCCGTGTTGTGTTGTGTTGTGGAAGCCGTGTTGTGTTGTGTTGTGTTGTGGAAGCCGTGTTGTGTTGTGTTGTGTTGTGTTGTGTTGTGTTGTGGAAGCCGTGTTGTGTTGTGTTGTGTTGTGGAAGCCGTGTTGTGTTGTGTTGTGGAAGCCGTGTTGTGTTGTGTTGTGTTGTGGAAGCCGTGTTGTGTTGTGTTGTGGAAGCCGTGTTGTGTTGTGTCTTAAATGGTGTTTAAGCAAAAATAACACTATTGCAAATGATTTTCTGTTACTGCTGGTAAAAATAATCACTGAAGGTCATTTTTTGGGTAATCTGTCCATAATCAAATGATGAGATTTCCAAACACAGTTAAGTCAAATCTCAGTTTGAGGATCACTAAAGCAGAGCATATGAAGGCTGACACACATATATATATGTAGGCCATATCAATTGTTTTGCACATAAAACATATTTTTAAAATATATTTTAAAAAATTATCTACTTTATTAATATATTTCCCAAATGGAGATGTCAGATCTAGTAGGGACACACACATAGTAAACATAAACACAACACAATGGCAAAAGATTAGCAGATTTTAGTTTTGTTTCAAGGAAGCAGAGGAAGACAACAAGATCTGCATACAATACTTTCACTTTTATTTTTCATTAATCAGAATATAAATCGAACTTCACCGTTATTGAGAACTAATTTAACTCTTAAATCACCTTTCCAGTTCAATAATTTAACAACCAACTCATGTTATAATATTACTGAATACATACTAAACAAACATCTGATGATTTTTTTCCATGAATGAGATTATCTAATATTTTATAAAGAGAGAGGAACAAAACAGTTGAATTCAGATTTGCTGATGTCACATGAGAGACTGAATTCAGAAGAATCCAACAAGGAATGCATTTCATCATTTTAAAGACGACTGAAAGGCACATAAACACAATCAAAGTACTAACAGTGAGCGCTCCTGCTGTTAAACTGTAAAAAACAAACACACTCACAAACAAACACATTTATTCTCCCTCTCACATAATAATCTTTTTCTCACTGTCATATCAGACACATAATTCAGGCAACATCAGAAGAAATACATATTAAACTGAAGTCATTGCAAGCATTTGAGGGTTTGTAAGGTTTTGGATAGTAATTCTTTCCGATGGATTTGGTAACACTTGAGTCAGTTAATCATATTATGCATTATTATGTATAGTACAGTATATAGTAGTCCTCTGGGAGGTATACAAAATAGTGGTTATTGATTAGAGAACCACATTCAAGTGAACACTAAGTTGTTCATCAAAGATTCTTGTTAATTAAAAGTATACGTTAATAGTGCGTTACTCATTTGTTCCTGCAGTTATTCATACTATGTTATTCATGCATTTATTCAAACTCAGTTTTCAAATCTATCTGGATTGATGAAGGCCTAGACGTAGCAGATCCTCATATATTGTTCATCTCAGACAATGGACAAACTTTCCCTCGCCGCTTCCTGTTCTGTTCTTCCTCAATGCTGGATCCTCTCAGTTTCCAATATTACACTGACAAACAAACAAATAACTTCTTTGGCTATAGCTTTTTAGGTTGCATGAAGAAGATGGACATAATCAAACCCCACACTACATTTTTTTCTTATTTGAGAATCCGTTTCACTCAGAGTTAGTGGCAGGTTTTCACTGTGACCAAGTTCAAGCTCCCCAAAATTGTCTACATATCAAATTGCCCCTGATATTAACTGTAAAAAGTATAACAACTAGCCTACTCCTTTGCCTAATTAAGTTTATATTAATGTAGATACATTCCACCATATAGCCTATAATCCACTGTTAGCTATTTCATATTCAACTTTTTGTTATGTTCTGGCCGTCACATGTGGCATTGTAACATTATAGGACAGGGTAAACATCACCAAACCTCCCACAGATTATTAATCATAGTAAAGACACTTGTTTTGTGTTATACGTTTTCTGAAATGGTATGTTTAAACTGAAAATGTGGCATTATTAATTATTATCATTATTTTCTAAAATTATCGGTTCATTTTGTTAAGGTTTTTGCAGATGAGATTTCTCTTTTATCACTCTATAAATCAGCCAGACAAAAAAGTTTTCTTCCAATAGTCTGAAAGAATACATGTTAGGAGAGCAAAAACAAATAAAAAATTCTGTGATTAATAAACTGGGGAAGGTATGGGGATGTTTACCCTTTTCACCAGAGTCTTCTTAATGTTACCTGTATGAAAAAACGATGTTTTTGCCTAGTGTCTTGCCTTAAATTGTGCATGTGGTCATTTAGGCCTATGTAATTTTCAAAACTCACAATTTTCCTAACTGTTTTA